TGCATAAAATAATGTTGGCAAGGACGGCCAAGACTGTAGAAGTTGACTTTAAAATTTAATTCATTCAAAAAGAATATCTGGTAGGGAGTTTAATTTTAATTTAAAGAAGAATATTTTCAAGGAAACTAATTTCTATGAATTCCACAACGGTATTAAAGACCGTAAAGAAGCTAACTTTGAGTAGATATGTATTAGTTAAGAGAAATAAAATTAAGAAGGGAAGGATTTTCATAATAATACGATTTCAATAATTCTGTATTCAAAACTAGCAACATTAATTCTTTTCAGTAAATCAAGAAATTAATCATACTGTGCGTCACGTTTCTTGTGCATGACATAATAATAGTCAACCGGCAGAAAACCGGTTAAGTTCTGTATTTGAAAATGATACTAATTATAATAATTCTCTATCCTGACCTGTATGAACCTAATTCATCATTCACGCCAGTGCATATATTCTTTGAGCTTGTGAAACGACTTTGTCTAAATAAGCATATTTGCATCAAATTGGACAATTGAATTAATTTTTTATTACGAATATTTCTGCGTTATAAAGCGGCTGCAAAGATGTCACGCCTGTTTATATCCTCTGTAAAGTATCTAAAAGAGGGCTATAAATTCTGAAATGAATAATAGAAAAGTTTGTTAAAATACAGTAAGAAATATTTTAATAAAAATTCCGTCATATGCAAATTAAAAAAAAACTCCTGTATTTTATTAAATGAATTGGCCTGCATATTTTGTTAAAATTGAGAATTCGTGAGCATTAGAAATTTATTTTAAACAAACTAGTTTGTGTATTTTGTAAGCAACACGTATGATAATAAAATATACAGATTTCTTACAAAAATCTATATTATTATAGTGACTTTTTAAAAAAAAATTTTGAAGAGTGAGAGAAATCTCTCATCAATGAAAAATTCGATATCACGAATCTAATTAAATAAAATACTTCTACATGCTTCCACGCACCGTCTGAATATAATTTTGACATATTTTAATGCTTTGCAGATTAATACTCATATATATTGCATTTCATAGCATACATTATAGCCAATTAATATGTATAAATTCCAAATACACAATAGGCAATTTACCTTCCAAATGGGAAATATTCTAAATAGGCAGCATACGTTTCAAACAGGATGTATTCCAAATAGAAAATATTCCAAATAGGCAGTATACGTTTCAAATAGGAAAATGTGTTTTGGTTAAAATGCAGCCAGTTTTTGCAATATCGCGATTAAAAAATCCTACAATTATCAGGCACGTGTATGAGCGATATATGAAACTGCATAATAAATGTAATACTTTCAGATCAAATACCAATATTTTCTGTTAATCAAAACTGTTCATTTTGAACTTATTTATTACTACAGACAATGGTATAAACTTTTCGATTGACATTTAATATAAATATACAGAAATTTATATAAAGTAACTTGTTTTTATTTACAAAGCTTTCAGATCTTTTTATTTATTTTGATAAATCTTCAAATTTTAGCAAAAAGTTTAAAATTAGACTAGAAATGGAATTTTTGTACTTGCTAGTTTTTAATTAAAGTTTACTTACATATGTCTGGTTACGAAAATATGACATATGCATTTAAATCCTACATAAAACAACAACAAAAAAAAAAAAAAAAAAAAAAAAAAGACCATCAAAATTAGCGGTTTAGAAATGTTTACAATCTTTAATTATACCGCTGCTATTCAAATATTATCTGTTAAGAATATATCACTTTTCTAATTTTATGTGCATGCTTGATAAGGTTCAGTCACATACTAAAAGATAATTTAATATCAAAATTGATGTTTGTTTTAATTCACTAATTTAGAGTTGATAAATAATACTTTGCTTATAAGCTAGAATCGGGGGAAAAAAAAAGTTCAAATGTTAAGGACAATTGTTATTATATGACTATCACTCATACAGTTTCAGTTTCTGAGCTGTAGGTTACATATATCAATGATGTATTAATATAAATGTTCTTTTTTGCTGGACAAAAGGAAATTACAGTGCGATCTGGTGTGCACGTTTGCAACGAATGAACGGAGAAAGGACTAAAAACTTGTTATTGCAAAGGCTTATTGCTTATTATGTGCGATAAAGTGATAACAGCTATATTAACAGTTGGGAAAATATATACACATCAATAAATTCGTCATCTAGCGAACTGCATGAGCGACATAAACAATAATAACTCATTACTTAAGTAAACGTAGAAGTCAAACTATTTTAAGTCAAGTTGTGATACATAGTTTTTATTCACATACGTTCTATCACAAGGTTTTTCAAATATAAAATTCAAATTTAAAACAAAGTTCTGTAACCTCATAAAATTAGAGGCTACGTAATTTTTACACGTCTTTAGAATATAACACTTAGATCTAAATTTCATCTAGCAGTTACTTCAGGATCAAGGTATAAGCAACTCCAACAACTTATTTATTTAGAAAGCATTCCAGCGCTATTTAATGCCGCATAATTATATTATTATTTGGTATAAAACATCAGTATTTCAATTATGTTTAAATATTGAAAAATCCGGTCAAATAAGCCCAAAAAATAAGCAATCGTAGTGATTGATTGCCAAAAATGAGCATATAATAACTTATTATCAATATTAGGTTACCAGACACCGTGCTGTAGCAAAAGTCACACCCGATGGCATTATTTGAGAACTGAAAATTGGCATCACCTTTCCAGATGTAGGTTAAGGGAAGTTCAAATAGCAATATTCATGAGTTGTCATTCACTGACAAGAAGAGGAAAGTTAAAATTTTTCAACTCAAACAATTCTGCTGCAAAGTGCGGTAATTTTAGAGAATAATTGAAGTTTTCTTTATAGCCAAGAAAAACTTCGCATATTTGCTGTGGATTATTTAAATTCAAACTTTGTTTACCCCACAAAATATAAAAAATTCCATCAATGTTTGAATAGATATAAATAAATAACAACTGACCTTAGGTAAAGGGAAGTTTACTTAAGTTATTTAAGTTATTATACTTTTAACGTTAAAAAAAAGTTTGACACACTTTCCGCTAAGGTTATTTGACATAAGTTATCATATTGTTTTTTAATTAAAATATCTGTTTTCATTTTATTCAGGGATTAAATGGAAGAAATCAAGAAAATCGAAAATTTTCTTATATATTGTTTTACACAGTTTCCTATATTACTCAGTAACGTTAATTCAATAATGCAGCCAAATTATTTGATTATATTAATGGAAGTTTAGAAATATTTTATCCATTTATTAATTTAAATGGCACTTAAGATTATTTTTTTGACCTTGCCTTAGTTCAAAAATACTTCATAAAACTGATAAAAGCAACGATGATTCGGATATAGTAATTGTTACAGTTGTTTTCTATTAACTTAGAAAAAAAGTAATCCTAAGGAATTAATTATATGCTAAGAAATTCCTCACTTGCCCTTTGAAAACAGTAACTTTCAATGCTTTTACACACAATGGGTTTAACGCAATGAAACCGGAGCTTTTTAAAAAGGAATTAAACTTGATATTAAAAAAATATACGTACTATATTTATCAGGTTTAATTTTTTTACATTTATTTTTGCAGTGTAACACATGTTAATTTGTATGTATTAGATAGAATAAATTAATCGATTCGAATTTTTTAGTTACTAAACTGTACTTATTACTCACCAGTAGAATGTTTTTTGCTTTCTTCCTTTCTTGCTCAACAAATAATAACCTTAAATTCATAAAAATAAGCTCAAAGAGGAATACTGTATTCCAGTAAAACCCATCAATAATACTGAAATATTAATCTTGGTGTAAAATATTCATGTTCTAATACTACGCAAATATTACTGTTTGTACATTAGAAAACGCAATGTACTAATTATCAATATATATACGCTTTAGGAGTTATTTAAGTTTTCATATTTTATGGAAAAATTTTTAGAAATTTTTATTAATGTACAAAAACTAAACCGTCCACATAAGATCGTAGTGTTGAGATTTCATGATATAAAGTAATAAAAGACTAAAAGCATATTTAAAGTAATATAAAAAGGTTAACCTCGCAGTTCTTTTGGTAATTTCATTTTAGAAATATTTAAGTTAAATTATTGTTTAAAGCTAGAGAAAAAGATTCCTTCGTTAATGCATAATACCAAGGCATTTTAAATTTTGTAAATTTTATGCCTTTGAAAATAAAAATTGCAATATTCCTTTTAAGATACTCTCAAAACAAATAAAATTTATTAAATTGCAATGCTTCTTCTTTTATTTTCACGATAAAGTTGAAGTAAATATAATGATATAATAGAATAGAAAGTATTAAAATCTTTCATAAAGTCTAACTTAGTGTAAGACAGCTTTCATTGCGTAGTAATTTAAAAATTTTTTTACTTAATAGCATTTTGCTTAATACTCTTTTAAATGTGCAAAATTACAAACTGGAGCTTGCTTTACGAGTGGTTCTTTCGTTAGAATTTTTGTAATGCAGACAATGTTTTTAAAACAAAAGCCTGAGAATAAGGCATTCAATAATAAGTTGGGGCACATATAATTGTATTTCTCTCTCATATGTCATTTAGAAACCTTATGGATATTTTCTCCTATGGATTTCTCTCATTAAGCATAACGATATGCATGATTTTAAAATAACATCATTATTATTGCTTTTAAATAGAGATAATTACATGAAGAGTTTTGGTTTAGAAAATTGCGTCATCAGGAAAAGACTCGTTTCTCATTTTTACAAAACTCAAGGAATAAATTCAATACAAAAAATAAATTCAATGAAGACAGTTGTTTCAAAGTAATTGTTTACCTTGTAATGATAACCACTTAAAAAAGTCTTATCTCAAACTTTGTGTGGTTTTCATAGTTTTTAACACCTTAGATTGTTTTATTTATTGTTTTTAATCCAGTTTAGTTATACGAAATATTTAGTTTGTCTTACTGCGTGTCTGTTGTATTCTGAAAATGCAGTTTATTAAGGAATCTCAATAAAATAAGGGCTTACCTTGCAGTAGTGCAATCTTTGTAGAGTGTGTCAAAGTCTTTGCAAGAGAGCAGTTTACAGCGGTTGACTCCGGGTTGAATGGCACCAAGACCCCTCAAAATGCGAACCTGTTCCACGTTGCAGACGATGGGGGTAATGTCCAATCGTTTAAGTTTTGTATAGACAGTGTGCAGACCCCCGACCAGATGTTTTAGGAACAGTTCGAAAGCCTGAGGTAGACATAAGAGGTAATCGCCGTTGACCAGAAAAGCGGCCACTTTAGCACCCCGATAGTCAATGAGGCGACAGTCATTGGCAGTAGCGTCCGTTGTGATACCGGGCGGCGAGATGGGGTGCATGGGGCGCTCCAGCCGGGGCGGGGCGCCGAGGTAGCCGTGGTGATGGACACCCCCATTCCTCATCGCCAACATTCCCATATGGGCCGGCATGTGTTCCAACTGAGGTTTGCCGGCTGCCAGGGCGGACATCGCCCCGGCCGTAGACATGGGCGGTGTGTAGGGCTTGGACACCATTTGAGGCGGACTGGCCGAAGAGGTCCGCTGTTGTTGTTGTTGGTAGCTGGGGCTAGAAACCACGAGGCCTTGCATGCTGACCACTGGATTGTTAGTTGACTTGGGACTGAGACTGACCATCGGGGGACACATCAGTCCTCCCCCCGATGCGGCTGATGTTACGCAATCGCTGACCATGCCGCTGGAGTCTGGATTCGGAGAATTTTGGAGTGAGGGCGGAGAGGGCATGTCCGCCGAGGGAGAGGTGCTGCCTTCCCCGCTGCTACCCTCCATCGGTGACCGGAGCAATCGATGATCCAAACGGAAAAACTTTCCAACCCGCGCGCGCTTCCAGCACCCAGAAGAGAGAAGACGAGGAGGGCCGCTTTACCACGAGGGGATCGGGCCGTCAGGAGTGCGTGGCAGTTCCGACCGGCTCGAGCGGGAGAGAACGATTATGTGTAAGCCACGGCCTCTCTTCGCTCCGTGTGGTGCTCCCGCCCAATACGATCGCGCCGCACTTCAACGTCACGCGCCAATACAAAGCGTAAATGCCGAATCGCTTTTCTTCCCCCCTTCCCGACTCCTCTCTCACACACACATCCTAATCCGTACACCGCGTTTTTTCATTTATTTGTTTTCGGTTAATTTTTTGCGCGGTCTCGAATTACAGCCGGAACTCGCGCTCGCCAATGATGGGAGCGCATTCCTCAGTCGGACTGCCCACTTTCGCCATTTTTTATTTATTTTTTGTCATTTTGCTTTGGTTCTTTGTTCTCGCTTCATCGTTCACAATTGTTCAAACCACTGTCGACGATTCATTCATTCCTTCTGGTCAAGTAAAAGTGCAACCGAGCTTTCTAAGAAATTTTTATTTTTTGGTTTTTCTTTCATATCCGAAAGATCAAACATTGTGCATAGGATATTCCTCAGAGTTTAACATCGGTTGACTGGTGTTTTATGGTTTATTTAAATTTTTGCGTAGAGGAGTATTTGGCCTTCTTTAGCGAAATTTATGCAAGAACTGTCATAGTTTAAGAAATGAACGAAAGTGATCAAAATATTTGATGTATGGCTGTAAAAATGGATAAATGCTCAGTTAGTTTTATTTAAAACAAAGCAAAAATTTTTCATTTTATTTTGTAATAACGGAAAAACAGTGTACAAGTGCGTATACATATGTTTTCTTTCCTTGCAAATTAAAAAATGCTTTGTTTATTATATTTCAGGCATTTATTTTCTTATTCAATCACAAAGATTTATATATGGATTTTAAATCGCATTTGCTTGGTCTGTTGATAAAACTCTTGGGCAAAAATAAAAACAAGTAATCCGTATTTTCCAGTGTTATCCCTCCCTTTCACTTCATTGTTGAGCATTCCTTGAATACGTAAATATTATCCTGTCTAATGTTTATAATTTTAAAGCTCGCTTCTTAACTTTTAAATATTTTAGAATTATTAAACATTTTTTTTAAGAAAAGGAGCACTTTTCCTCAAAAAAATCACTGAGGAAGTTTCAAATATTATTTTTTTATTATATGTTTTTATTATTATTGTCTGAAAGAAAGCAATAAAATATGTCCCCATAAAACTGGAAGTCTGTAATAATAATAATATTTAAAATATTTTTTTCTAATAAGATATTTTTTATTTCGGACAGTTTAATCTGATTAAAGTATGCTAAATAATTAACTAATAAAAAATATTTAATTTGATTATAACATGAAACCATAATTTTCCAGTCTTGAATGTACAAACTTTATTTACTCGTTTCTTCTGAAAATAATATAATTCGTCGAGTAAATCTCCTTCATTTCACTGCTGTGTATCTATCAAATTTTAATCTTTTAAAATGTTTTTCATTTTTTTCATTTCTTCATTTAAAAGAAATTTATAAATAATTCATATAATACGGAATTTAAAAATAGTTCACTTATAAAAATTTCTACTTATTCATTATTCATTATTTCTTATTCATTATTTACGCAAAATCCCACATATATTTCAAGAAATTAAAGAAAACCCTTATTATCTGAAACGTTAATGCAGTTGGCAGTAATAAGAAATAACATAATTTATATAATATTTATATATATTTCATCATTTATATATATTTCATTTATATAAGCGAACACATTGCTTAGAACCTGAAGCTGAGGAAATGGTAGTCATATAAGACAAACGTGTTTAACTTTTGAACTTAGAATTCATATTTTTTAACTTTAACTCTCATTCCTTATATGTAAGAAATTTAATTATATGCAAACTAATACATAGACTTTTTAATGGCTCAGCAGGTTTACTAACCAAATGAAGCTTCTTCCTAATTAAAAATCGCATTTTGCTTAATTTGTTTTCTGCATTTTCTCATACTAATTAATAGGACCGAATTTCTTAAAAAAAATTAATTACTGTATACATATTGAAGCTATTATTCTGAGAACACTGTATGAAGTAGAACTTCGGCTGTGAAACAAAGTATGTCAGAATGGCTTGTTTGTGGACGTCTTCTCTACTGCTAGACTTTCCCACTTTTTAAAGAAGCAATTAGAGGATTATGCTGTCGTAGCGCCATCTATTGGCATAAACGAACATTTTGGGTTCCTCGACTTCTGAATTGTCTAAGCAGGTATAGTTATGATGAACTGCAAAAGAAATTTGCAAACTAGTGATGTGGATATAAAGAAATTTTCATTTACGTAAAAGAAATGAAAATGTGTGACATAAAGGCTTTGCTAATCTTTAATTAGCGTCATGAAAAGTATAAATAATTAAAAGTTAATTAATTATAGAATTTTTGCATTTGGTTCTTTAATATCGTAGCCACATAAAATAATGCAAATAATATTGTACTATAGTGAAATAAATAATTGGAATGATCAGTATATTGCAAAAGAAAAAGAATAATTTGCAAAAAATACATGTTTATGCAGGGTTATAAACTGCACAGGAAAAGCGCGGTCTTAAATACGAAAGAATGTTTTCATGCTTTTAATGTAAAATCTTTTAACAAATTAAGAAATATGCTTATAAGTTTTCCTTGTTATCTATTGTTGCAATTATTTTTATGCGAGAGTCGATCTTATATCTTCACAATAATTCTTATTTTAGAGCTTAAAATATGATTTTTATTTTTTGAAAGAAGAATGTTTCTAAGACAAAGACTATTAACCAATTTTGCTTTCTTTTCGCCTATGTAGATATATATCCTTTCATATATTATTTCATTCGCGATGTTTTATTTAATTTGTCTAAATATCGCGCATTGCCTAACATTGGAAAAAGACTATATTTAGAAAAAAAAAAAAAAAAAGTATTATTCAGAAACTCTCATGCATATCGAGATGATACTTATCCTTTCTTGGACGGAATCCATCTTGCGACGGCTTTTAAAGTCCTCCACTTTAAATGGTAAAAGTTACGACTATTTTCAAAATGTACAATATTTTTAACTTATTACATAACAATAAATTCATTATGGTAAGACAGTATTCAATGAAACTGTTTTATGTTGTTCGAATATAGGATAGTTTTTTTTTTTTTTTTTTTTTTCTTTTTATGTAAAAACAGAAAAGGATAAGACTGCCCTTCTCTGTTCAAGCATTGGAAAACTAGTTGTTCATATCGCTGCCTTGCACTCATTAAAAATTACGCACTCATTAAAATTACTCATTTTAACACCTGAATCATTTCGATATAATTAATAATTTTGGTGCATACAAACACACATACAAACAATGTCTGGATTATAAAAAAACAGTATTATTTGTCTGTGATCTTGTATTTGACAAACTCAGGAGCTAAATGTGTATATACGGGTGTCTGTGTGTGTATAAAAAGTGAGATTAAAATTTACTAAAAATAACTGAAAAAACAGTACAAACAGACTGGAAAACATAAAGATTTTCAATGAGGAAAATCCGCGTGCTGCGAAGCAAGTGAAAACTTGCTCGCAGCAATATAATTAAGTTAAGGAACTACAGTGAAAGAGTAGTCGTACTGTACAAAAGGTAGAAGTAGTCAGATTTTGTTAGAATTTCTTACTTTCTAAATTCTCTTAATGTGTACTTTCACCCTCGCAGTGTAGGGGTCACAATAATTTTTTTTTTTTTTTTTTTTATAAAATACTAAATCAGATTCCTCTTTGTATAGTGGATAGTACTGTTCTTTTTCTTAACAGTATTACTTGCAAAGGCATCTTCGAAAGCCTGATGGTACTGAATTATAATTCACTCGTTCTAAAATATGATTTAGAAAACCATGAGTTACTACTTGAAAGTCATTACCTTGCCTTTTCTTTACACTTCCTTGTGTTTTGTCAACAATATCAGGTAGATATATATTTATCTATCTACGTATACCCACATTTTATAGATTTTGTCTGCTTTCGTTACATTCACAAACATACAATTCTTATTCATGCTTATAATATGTACTATTTAGCTATTTGTGTTGAATTAAGTAAAATTCTGGCCCTCCGTGAAATGAACTTGCTTATTTATAGGTATATATATATTCTTTTGAGCGTAAATAGCATTGCGAGGGAGCCACATTTTTTATTAGTGATCTAGTATAATTTCTCTTAGTTAACCGAACTATCATTCTATTTGTAGTATCATTTCCGCTTTTTTAAATAGTTTATTAGTTACTTATCTGTATAGACTTGGGCCCACGAGTCGAGGTCGAGCGTTAAAGTCGCTGAACACTGTTAGTTCAGTACGGGGTTCGAATCCCGGTGAACGGGCTGGCTGTATGGGTGTTTCCGAGGTTTCTCCCATGTGTGACATGGATACAAGTCAGTTTCTCTTCGAAGGTCCTCCACAAAGGTATCCCTCCTCTTTGACAGATAGCCCTCGAATGCTTAGCTATAATCAAATAAACCAAACCAAACCTGTAGAGACTTAATATTCCTATGTATTAATTATCTTACAGATTTTTGTTAATATTATTACTAGGTAACTGAATCTCTTTTATTATCAGACATAGTAATTAAATCTATTTGTTTAAATTTTGCATAGCTATATGCAACTGTATGGTTAATCAGAGATAGCTTTTGCGTTAATATGTGTGCAACTAGTACATTTGCTTACTTGAATATATTTTTCAGTTATACAAATAAAAATAACATACACAGTTTGCTAAGTATTTATACAGGTAATCAGCAAGTTTATACGGTATTTCTATCACCTTCTTGGCGTGCCTTCGTGGTGCAGTGGTTAGCATACTTGGCCAGTATTCCAGAGGTCTGTGGTTCTATTCCCGGCGAAGGCGATTGCAAATTTTTCATCTCTCTTCCTCCAATTAACCAAATTCTCTACAGTAGCGCCCGAACTAAAATGGTGGTGGATGATGATTTCTTCCCACCCAGGATTTGGTAATTGGGTCCCCTAAAAACCCCAGTCGCCCTTTAAAAGGGGGGAGTATATGAGGTATTTCTCCCACCTTCTTGGCGTGCCTTCGTGATGTAGTGGTTAGCACACTGAGTCGGTATTCCAGAGGTCCTTGGTTCGATTCCCGGCGA